TATTTAAAAATGTTGTTTGAAATAAAATAAACTTAAAAGTTTCGTCGAAGGTTATAAGAAAAAAACGAAATTGCTGTTCAAAAATGTTCTTCTTTTCCATTTGTCCAGCTTTGATGCACTCTACATCTCCCTGTTTACCTGAATGTTGTCCGTGTAGGATTCTTTACATCTACTAAGGATTCATTCATGACAGCAAATGGTGCATGATGATTATACACAAGACAGTAGTTTCAAAAAATATCAGAAAAAGAATAGATTTTGAAAGAGAACATTGGTTTTTAGTCAACAGTATTCAATCAATTATTTTCATTTCGATAATTTCATTGATTTTAGTAATCTTTTTAAAATGTTTATCTAGAAACAAAAACCAATGGAATATAATTTCATCCAGTCGAAAACTGTTTGATATAGAAATATATTTTATTTTTTAGACGCTTTATTTGACTTGTATCAATCTTTCGAGTCGCAATTAAATTGAACACATAATCATTTATAAGTCATTAACAAATACACATTAATTAGAAATAGAAGTAGAAAATCTTATGCATGAACTCTAATCAAGTTAGTTAAATCAAATCGTTTTTCTTGCCAATTTACAAATACTCACATTCGTTTTATATTTTAAAATAATGTCATCATTGTTAATGAGCAGATAATGTCTTGTGAACAGTCATTCGAGAAAAAGAATGAGGAAAGAAGTATCTCTTTCTTTTCATAGAAAGAGTACTGTACTGTCAAAAACATGCACGCTTGTTAAAAGTAAAGATCAATACTTTCAATTCGTATCAAAAGTACGACCATCTTATGTTTGAAGAAACGGTAAGACAAATCTATAGATAATATTTCGATGAAAAGTGGAATAAACTCTTAAGAGAAAACAATCACTCAAATGAAAAGCTTAGAAACATTCTGAAAAAATACGAGACAGTTACTTTTAAGTATGACGGTAAATGTACATGTCTAGTCTGTGAATAACTAACCAAGATACTCGCAAGATCTGTTCCACAACGATTGACGTTAACTGAATATCTATATAATCGTAGCACGAAACAATAGAACTGAAACAGAACTTTTTAATTCCATCAGTAGGATTTTGTGTCCCCATTAGAATATTGAAAAAGAACATAAATGTGTTTCCAAAGAAAAACCAGAACTGTTAAAGATAAACTAAGAAATCGATATGTATGATCTTTATTTGGTGTGGATACCTCACAGAAATTTCATTCTAGATTCGATTCTTTTTCGCTAAACGTTTTTCGTTGTGCTTGTTTCGCTTCGTAGAATACATCGATTACAATATAAGCAAATATACATCTAATGTAATACTTTATTCAGTTACTAAACAGGAATTATTTACATGATGACAAACATACTGATATTGAGCTGCTATTAAACATACAAAATCTCTTGTTAGACTGAAATTTCACTTTAATCATGCTAGAGAAGCAGTTATCAACAGAAAGCTTTCGTTAAAAAGAGGACACATAAGTAATCCGACTCTTCAATCCTACCGAAAAACTACTTGGATCTGTCTAAATTCGAACAGGTACTTTATGAAGTTGATGGAAACATAGAGCAAAATCTCGTCAGCCGAATTAAGGCAGATTCGATAGAATCCTGAGGAACAATTTTGACCTGAGACCATGAAGAAAGGCAACTATTTATCAAAATAATCTAATTCTATTTTGACGAATCCTCGCAATACTAAGTATTGTAATAGAAACAAAAAAAAGGAGGAATATGAGGATCATTGACAATATAGAAAAAAATTGAAGAATAATTTAATTATAAACAAGTTGAATTATATATAAAATAATATTTCTACATGATATGAAATAATAATTTATTATAAAATCTCTTTTAGAATAAATCATAATTTTATCAATATGTTTTGTTTATTTTAATACTGTTATCTGGGAATAAAAATATAATTTGAATTAGAATATATTTAATAGAATTATTTCGAATGTTTTTCAATTAATTTCAAAATAAATATCAGACTTTTATTTTCTTTTTAAAATAAATTTATTTTTAAATGATTAAATTGGAAAAAATATGGCTTGTTTTTATAGTTGATGAATAAAATAAAAATATTTTGAACATTAAATGAATTTAAAATAAGAAACAAAATAATATAAATTAACTTAAATCAATAAGTTGGTCATCTGTATTATTTTGATCAAGAATTAGTTTTTCATCTTTAGAACTTATTTGATTTGAATTAATTGATGAACGAGCAGAAGAAGAAGAAGTAGAAGTAGAAGAAGGTTTTCCAAACAATTGTTGAACAGTTTGTGTTAATAAAGTTTTACTTTTTGCTGGTTGATGATTATTATTTTCTGTTACAATAAGAGTATCATCATCATTTTCATTTGCTTTAGTTTGTTTTTCTGTTTCAAGAATGAATAAATCATCTTGATTGGAATTTGATTCCTTGTTTGAGGTTTCTTTACGAGTAAATAAATTCATATTTCGATCTATTTATATTTATTTATGTTTGTTAGTATAGCAAACTTTTCTTTGAGAATACTTCGACGAATAAGAAACATATCTTTCATCCATGATAAATGTCGTTTCTAAGTAACCGTAAAAAAAACAAACATAAATGAAAGCAGATCGCATTCGAGTTTGACTTCGATACAGAAATGTAAAACAAATTAACGTTTATAGATTTGAATTGAAAAGTATAAGTATTTTCTTAACATTGTCTGTACAGTTCATCTAAATTAGTTTGTTCTCATCAAGAAAAAAGTCTAATAAGAAATGTGAACATCTTATCAACATATACGATTGATGGATGATTTTATTCTATTCTCAATCTAAAATTGATTGGCTATTGTCAGCATCAAATGACAGATCTCATTTAAAAAAGAATCGTCTCTAACTTAAGTTCCTTTCTTCATTTTAATTATATTCAAATTTGATAAAAATAGATTCCATCTTATATTTGTTGCTTAAAAAAACTCTATCTGGTAATAAGGATAATAAAAGAGATAATATCAATTAAATTGAAATATTTACATCATGTGTTTTATCGAATATTTTCTGAATGCCGAACTAGTTGAGTCATTTGCAATCCAAAGTACAAACGTTTAAAAGAGTAGATCGAAATAGAAATTACATATTAGTGTAGACATCATTTCTAAGAATTTCTAAGATAAAGTGAAAAATATTGTCTTTCGAATATATAAAAATGGTGACCATAGCTGAAGTATTATTAGAAAGGTTGACAAAGTTGTCAAAAGAGTCTTAATAATAAATATAAATTTTATTTATTAATAATTCTGTTTGGAAATGATAAACGGATGATGATTTGATTTGCCATCTGTGAAGTAGGTTCAAAGAACATAATCAACAACATTTTATTTTATTTTCATTTAAATTGTCTCAAAAAAAAATGAAAAAGAAATAATTTAAAAAATTCTCTTTATCTATATAAATAAATATCTTGGATTCGATCTTAAACATTTAAATCTACTCATTCGCATATATATTTTTCATGTCTTCCCGTAGTTGAGTCATCAAAACAGAATGTTGAAAATTTAACAGAAAATAAGTTAGATTAAAAAATCCTATTGATCGTGTTCATATGAATAGTACAAAGTTTCAATTCAGTTTTTTTTTCAGATTTGTTTTTATGAAAACGAATAAAGAAAAAATTTGTCAAAGTTAATAATAATCATGACTATATGTTCGTTGGTATAATAAATATATTCATATAAATGTTTGATCTCATCTGAATATGATTTATTTTTCAATTTAATGCGTTTATGAAAACGAGCGAAGTATTTATGAATCAATATTTTCAATATTATTCTTTTAAAAATTAATAATAAAAAAAAAACAAAAGATTTTTTTCATAATTTAAATATTTTTTAATTAGAAAAAATAATGATACTTAACAATTTTATTTTCAAGGAAAGCAAAATCTATTCGAATTATTTTCAAATAAGACAAGTTATTTAAATCGATATTGAATTTTAATTAAAGTAAATTCAACATACCTTTTAAATTTTCATGAATCAATCAAATTATTCAACAAATTTTTGTTTATTTATTTATGAATTTACTTTAACATTTCTCATTTATTTATCCAAATAAATAATTCATATTCTTTTTGTTCATAGAAATTCAAACTTACTCAAATAAGATTCTTTGTTTATCCCTATGTAATTTATATATATTCATCACCAATATATATTTAAAAAAATCTAAATTTACGTTTGAGAAAGTCAACGAAAAAAACGTCTAATGCAAATGGGATGATTTAATAATAGTATTATTACTAATTATGATAAGGATAATTAATTGAAATGATGATTTACTAGGTCGAATGGCATCATTGATCTTTTTAGACTTTTCATTGGTTTTTTTACTATTGTGTTTTTAATTGATAATACGAAAAATGGTGTTGTTGTTTTTCCTGCTTATGGATTTGAGTTCGACAGAAAAAATAAATTTAAGAAATCTCTTGGGACAACAAATACTTTTTAATTTATTTCATTTTGGTTAATTTACTAAAGAATTTAATTGAGATTTATTTTTCATTTGAAAAACTGATCGAAATATAAGAAATTATTCAAATTTATTCATATTTAAAAACGAAGACAAACATTGTTAAAGTTTTCAAGATTTATTTAATTTTTGTCTTGTTTCATAATTAATAAAACAATTTTTTTTAAAACGATTTAATATTGAAATTCTAAACAAGTTAGTTGATTTATGATACATTAATAATAATAAATAATAATCAAGAAAATAAATAAATTTGATATAAAAATATTTATTTGAACGCATAGTAGTCATATATAATATTTAAATAAACTTCTAAATTATTTTAAAGAATTAAATAATAAATTATTTGTTTAAATAAAATCTTGTTTAAGTTATTTTATTTTTTAAAATAGCTTTCATCAATGAATTAAAATTGAATTATATTTTTATAAATAAAAATTGAATAAAAATGATAAAAAAAACTCTAATACGAAAAAAAAAAAACATCACAATTGATTAGCTTCTTCTTGTGGTACCATAATAAGTTTAAAAACATGTTGTTGTTGTGCAAGAAGTTGATTTTCTCTCGAATGATCTAATGTAGCTTGTTGTTCACATTTTTCACAAAATGTTAATGATGGACAATGAACACAATCAAAACGAATTCCAACGAGATCATTTTGACAATGATCACATCTTAGATGAAAACAAAAAAAAAACAAATTTATTTTTAAACAAAAATGTTTAAATAGAAACTAACTTAACACCATTATGATGAACAACAGGATTTTCTGGTTTGGGAAGATCAAGAATAGTTTGCTTTGGTTGAGGTGTAGCTGCAGCTGTATAGTTTTGTGCTTGTGCCCAATTAAATTTTGCTCCACAACCAGATTGAACATTTCCTCCATGTGCATCTTGTCCACATATCATTGAATCACAACCTTCAAGACGTTGAACAACACGTTTACATGATGGACAAAGACGACAATTATCAGCTTTATATTTTTCATCATTCATTAATTCGTCATAACGACGACGTAAATCACGATTTCGATTTTCATTATCATTACTTTTACGATTATAATCAGTTAATTGTGTTGCATATGCAGCATCTTGTTGAGCTCTCATTGTTAAATAACGAGCACGTTCTTATTTATATACATAAATATATTTAAATAACAAAAATAAAAATAAACAAACCTGTTTGACACCAAAAAAACCATCGTTGAGTTATTTGTGGAAGTTGTTCACATGTTGTACGATAATGATATTGTTGATTACAAAGTGAACAAAATTCTTTATTACAAATAGGACAAGTTACTCGAAAACGTTCATTTGGATCAGCAGCTTCAGCTATCCATGGACAATTTTGATTTGGACATTTAATTATACCACGAGTACGACTTGAATATGCATCAAATGTTTTTTTTATTTGATAATCTCGAATTATTCGTAATTCTTCATTTGAAATTCTTAATTGATTAAGTTCACCATCTCTCAATGGATTTGTACAAAGTGCACATGTTAAAATTTCTCCATTATTCATTTTTGATTTACATGAATCATAATAACATGAATAACATATTTTATGATTATCAGAACAATCAAATACATATATATCATCATATGGACGTGATTCCATACAAACATCACAATCTCGTTTCGGCATTTCATATGGAAATGTTGATCCTATTGTTAAGAATTTTTTTTTCAATATATTTTATTTTTTTTAAAATTGTTGAAATTCATTACCGAATATAGCAAGAGCATCAATTATTGACCATGGATCAAGATTTAATTGACCATTTTTACTTTGTTGTTCAATAAAATGACGAATTTGCTCTTTTGTAAATGGATATTTTGTTTTCGTTAAAATAAAATTAGTTAATTTTTCATAATCAGATGTTGCATCATGTTGACATGCTCTTGCATGATTTTCTAATTGTTTAAATGGATATGGTAATTGACAATATTCACAAGGTATTAAATCATCACATGATTCAACATGTTCATCAAAATCTTCACATTGATTTAAATCAATATAAAAACGACATCGAGAACAAAATGGTCTTTGTTGACCTTTAACAAGTTTTAATAGACGATCACTAATACGACGTTCAAGTGGAATTAATGATATATCATAACGAGATAATTCATAATCACATAAACTTTTATGACATACTGGTGTTTGACTATTTCGAGAAAATTCTTGCATTGAACGTTGAAGACATGATATACAATGAGTATGATGATAATGACAATTTATTTCTTTATATAACCCATCTTGTTTATTTAGTGAACAATTACTAAAATTATGTTTTCTTATTAAAAATAATTTATTATTATTAATATAATTATTTACCATGTAAAACATTTAAGATTTGTTTTATTTGATGAAGTTGATAATTGATTGTCTGTTTGAGCAACACATGCTAATACATGATTTTCATATTGAGATAAATCAATTGATTTGAAACAAATAATACAATCTTTTTTTTGTGTTTTTATATTATTATCATTCTATACATTTTAGAATTATTTTTGAATTAAATAACAAAATATTATAATTGATTACTTTTTTATTAGAATTTAATCTTATTTTATTCTCATTTTCATAAGAATTCATTACTGAATAAGATGATGACGATGATGCTGGTGAACATGATACAACATGTTGAACATATTCATATTCGGGAATAGATTTCGAACATTTTTTACAACGAGTTTTACCATTTTTCTAAAAATCCAACAAAAAAAAACGAGTATTTTATAAAATTAATTTTTATTAATAAAACAAACTTGTTTATATATATTATCATCATTTATATCCATAGGTGTGTTTTCATTTGAACAAATTGAAACATGTTCTTGATATTGTTGTTGATTAATTAATTGAGTACAAAAAACACATTGTTTTTTTTGTTCACTTTTTGAATTTGAAGATGTTGATGATATCTATAATTAAATTAAATATAACTAAATAAATATAATAAATAGCAAACCATTGAAGAATTTCTTTGATATTGAGAATTGTCATTGAAATTTTCAATATTGTCATCATTTGAACAAGACACAAGATGATCTTCATAAATGGATTGATCAATCTCTTTTGAGCATAAAACACAACGTTTTAGTTTATTCATTTTTAAATTGTTTTCTTTTTCAATCTTTCGTTCAAACTATTCATTATTAGAATAAAATATAAAATTATTTATTACAAAAAAAGAAATATTTATTATTGAAAATTGATCTATCGAATTCACATATCTATATCATATTAATTTAATTTGACAAACATATCAAAATAGACTATTTTAAATATTCTAAATATGAATACATGACTATTGACAAATTAATATTAAATCTATCTTATGTTATATAATAAATCTAACTATTCATATTATAATAGTTCAACAAGTATTTTCGTTGATAATCAATATTAACAACAACAATTTGTATCAATTATTTATGATTTATATTCATATATATGTTTAATGATATTAACTTAGATTGGTAAGATCGTTTGAGGATTAGATAGATAAAGAAATATTTCGATTTAAAATTTGTACTCGTTATTTTCTCTTTGAAAAATTGAAATAAATTATATAATAAATGAAAAAGATTACTTGTATTGATGTATTTCGATTTTGATTGTATGTATTATTATCTGAATGTTTATCATTGTTTGAACAAATTAATATATGATTTTTATACTCTGATTGATTTATTTGTTGTAAACATAAATGACATTGTTTACTTTGATTTTTATTTGAAACAATTCTTTGATTTTGATCATTCTAATTATTTAAATAATAATTATTTATTTAAATAGTTAAATAAAATCAAACTTGTAAACTAGATGATCTTGAATGTTGTTTATCATAGAAATTATCGTTTCTATTAATAAATGAAGATGTATCATCAATTGAACAATTTGCAATATGATCTTCATAATCTGTTTGATCAATTTCTTTCGAACATAAAGCACAATATTTTGTTCGTTTTTTCTTTAAAATATTTTGTTCTTCGAAAGAATTTTTCTCTATCTAATAATTAATAAATCAATTCTAAATAAGCAAAAAATAAATAAATAAATTTACTTGTGATGAACGTATATTCTCGTTTGACATTTGATAATGATTATCAATTGACATATGAGTAGTTGAATGATTTCCTTCAATTGAACAAGATGCAAGATGATTTTCATAATCTGATTCATCGATATCTTTGGAACACAAAATACAATGTTTCGTTTGTTTTTTATTTGAAACAATTCTTTGATTGTTTGTTTTCTAGTTATTTCGTCAGAAAAATAAATAGATAAAAAAAAATAACCTAAAAATCTGAATATTACTTCTATTGAAATGTCTCCGTTTGGAACATCTCGATCATCTGAAACATTATCATCAATCGAACAAGATGCAAGATGATTTTCATAATCTGATTGATCAATATCTTTCGCACACAAAACACAATGTTTTTTTTTCTCTTTTTGCAAAGAAATTATTCCTCTTGGGCTGTCTGATAGAGTCTATTATATATTATTCAAATGTCAATTGAATTAAGAATAAAAAAATCAAATAAAACCTGTGTTGGCGTTGGTGCTCTTGGTGTTGAATATCCACTAGTATTATTTTCATCATTATTCTCACATGCTTGACAATGTGCAGTTAACTCATCGAGAATATTTCCACAATTAGGACATTTTTTCTTGTTTGATAATATTTTTTCCTGGTGATTACAAGTTTCAACATGTTTTTGATGTTGTCTAATAGGTATTTGTTTATTACAAAAGGCACATAATTTATAGGAATTTGATGGTCCGCCTAGTCGACAATTAAGTATATGATGACGAATATCTTGTTGAGCTATAAGGTCGTGACATGCTATACATTTACTGTAACCGGGAAAATGACTTTGTTCCATAAATAATTATTGAGAATAATTCAATCAATTGAAAGTTAAAATTGTTTCAATGAAAAAAATATGTAATATTGAAAAAATAAAAACAATGATAAGAATATTGACTTTTTTTTATTTTGAATTCAAACAGATGATGCAAGTTGGAAGAAAGTTGATCAATATATGAATGATGAATTTCTTGATAATCACTGGTTCTCAATCTTTGACAAACGGATATTTTTTTTTTTCGTATCGAAGATGTCGCATGTTTATTAGAATTTTTTAAAAATAATATTTATTTAATTTAGCTCATATTTATATTGTATTGAACTCAAAATAAAATCATTTTTTCAAAACGAAAACATTTATCGAACAATAGACTTGTATATCAAGATTGTCCGTATTGACTGAAGTCGATATCGAAATTTGTTCTTCTTGAATTCTAATTTGGCTCTCCTCAAATATGTTTGTCGACGTTTTCTGATTGATCAACGAAAGAAACGATTAAAAGACTTGAAAAAATTCTAATCAAGAGAATAAATAGTCGATTTACTAATACATTTCTTGTCGATATTGTCAATAGATAAGCTAAATATTCTATCGTTATTAAACGATATCGAAAACTAATGAAATATATTTCGGAAAAATACTATCAGTCTAGATTCAACCGAATTCTACATTAATTCTGTTGAAAGTCTAATAAAATGTTAATCTATACAGGAAAGATAGGATCTGATCTATTTTTTTTCTATAAAGACGAATTATAGAAATCTTTTGCGTAAACAATCAACTAGTTTTAGATGATGACTAAGTTATTTTCGTATTTGATTATATCTATATGGCGTTGACATATAAAAGATAGTAGAATGGATTCAATGTGACATATCAATTGGCTTTATTATTTTATTAATAAAACCCTTATTAGATGTATAATCAATTAATCAACAAAGCTAATTTAATATTTTTCTTTTTGTTTTTAGAACGTTTTTTTTGTTTACTAATAGATGAAAAAAGTAAGACAAAATATTTTTGGAAATGAATAGTAAAACGCACTTTTGTAACAAATGAGAACTTTTATAAGATATTGATCTAGTAAATAAGGAATAAAAGACAAGTATCGGCTGATTTATTTGATTCTTATTGTGTAAAACAGTAACAATCGTTCATCTTAAATATATACTTATTAGGATAAAATTATACTGATTCGAAGCATTATTGAAGAATTCTTATGAAAATATCTTTATGATAAATACGCTATAGAACTATCCAAAATTAGTGACGGAGTTTCTTTATTTCCGTATAGCAAGCTTAAAAAAAAGTTTTAAACGAAGTAATAGTAGAAACAATATTTTGCCGTATTGAATCACTCTTTAACTAATATCATATTAGGAAATTTCGATAACAACTATTTTCCTATGATGTGTGACGGTTACATTAGTCAAAAAAAAAATTGAATCAATTTGATAATTCTATGAGATGCTGGTAGGAAAAAAAAAAGATTCCCTTTAACTGTCAATTATCGAAAGAAAAATATTTTCAAAAATGAAGTAAAGTTATTAAATGAAAAAAGATAAAGATATACATATTATTATATTCATATCAGATATATTAGATTACACCTTATCACTTGGGTCATATTTTGTGGTAATTGTATAAAAACGACAAATTAATATGTTTTGCAATGATTATATGGAAGAGATATATTTGAATATAAGTTTAATGATCATTCTGAAGTTGAATTGATCTTATGTTTATTTAAATCTTTATTCTCAATGATATAAATAGATTAATTTACAATGAAATAAACAATTAAATAAAGCGAATTTACTTGACTAGTTTATTAAAAAGAAAGAGTTGTTATTAGAGATTCGATTAAAAAGATTTTGTCTCATTATTTGATGATGAATTCCAATTGATATATCTTGCAATAAATTCTATTCTATTTGTATTAAAGAACATGTTTATATAGAGTTTAGAGAACAAATCGTTTATTGTCAATCAATTAAGATGTTTAACTAAAAAATTTTAAATATCTAAATGAAATATAACCAGTCTCATTTCTCTTTTTTTAGTCAAGGATAATATCATTGAACAGATGATAATTGACAATGATCATCAAGAATTTTTTTTGTAAGTTTTTTTTTTAAATAAATATTCAATATTGAATGTATCTTTATGTCTTTTTCTATTTCAATTCAAATAAATGAGATGTTGAATAATTAAAATCTATTTATGTTATTGATTAAAAATTCATTGAATTCAATAATGAACTGAATGTGTAACGATAGAGTTTTTTTTTGTTCTTTCCTGTATATGTCTTAGACTAGAATGATCTACACACATACATTTAAGTAAATATGATATAAAATGATTTCATAATGATATTTGCAATAAAATAATGTTTGTTAATGTAGGTGAACATTTGTGAAGGATAGTCAATAAATAAATAATGACTAAAATGATAAATCTTTATCATTTTTAAAATAGATTTGACGAAGAAGAGCAGAAGAAAAAGAATAATTCTTTAAAATCAATTTTGATAATGATTGCGTTAATGTATGTATCTATATTTATATTAATGACAAGAGGTGAACAAAATCTGTCCTCAAAAGTGTTAAGTTCATGTTCATCAGATTCATCTTGTATTCATGGAATATGTTATCAAAATCAAAATGTGTCATCATGTTTATGTGAACGTGGTTGGACATTATCTCAATCTCAACCTCAAATTTGTACTTATCAACAGAAATCTAAATTAGCTGCATTTCTTCTTTCATTTTTTGTTGGTGGTCTTGGTGCTGATTGGTTTTATTTAAGTGTTGGAAATGGTGGTTATATTGCAGCAGGAGTCTTTAAAATGTTAACTTTAGGTGGAATTGGAATTTGGTGGCTTGTTGACTGGATGAGAATTTTAACAAATTCATTTCTTGATGGACAAGGTGTTGCTCTACTTGAATGGAGTCCATGATAATGAATAAATACGACAAGACTTTTTACTTTATTTTTATTCATTTTTTTTTCTTGTATTGTATAACAAATGTTTGTGTTTTATCCAAGGCTATTATTTGTCTTAGAAACAAATGATTGATTTGAACAGTTGCTTAAATAAATCGAACACGTTTAAAAGTCAAATAAATGAATCAAAATTGAACATATTTCATAGTAGAAAGAGAACAATGAAAATCATCATCATCGTCATCATATCTATTTTACTTAAAAGTGAAGGTGTCGTATTTTTTGCTTAGTCTACATTACATTAGTTATTTATTGTGTTTTTTTTTCTTCAGCTCAATACATCGATGATCAATCGAACAATGATATAACATCAACAATCAATTCTTTTATTTTATCAAGTCCAACAGTAAATGAATCAATTACAGATGACGATAAAACTATCTTAATAGAATCGTCAACTGAATATATATTTAATAAATTACATGAAAATGAAACAAGTTCATCAATGAGACTAAATACTTTAATTAATAATCAAACATCAACAATGAATAATGATGACACATCGTTATCAACATTTTTTCTTTCATCATCTCTAAATGATTTTCAATCTACAACAGTTATAAATAATATTTTATATCGAAATGAACAATGGTTTAATTATAATCAAGCAAATCAACAAGGTTCTTATGATTCTTCGATAGTTTGGAGAAAAAGCAAGGGTAAAAATAAAATATTTCTTTTTTTTTGTTCTTAAATAAAATTTGTCTATAAAAAAAACTAAAGATGAATCATTGGATAGTTCAACTTATATATTAAAATCTGAAGGTGAATGTGCTGATCGTATGTGTTATATTAAATTGAAATACAATGGTTCCTTATCAAATAATAATGATGGTTGTTTATCATTTATTCTTTCGATACGAGGTCAACCAGGTTGAAAGTTTTTTTTGTTTTATTGAAGTATATTATTTATTTTTATTCTAGTTGGACAATTATGGATTGAAGAAGATGAAGAACAGGAAAATCTTTCACAAAAAATTCAATTAATTAATTCAAGTTTACGTGTTGAACATTCATTAAAATCAAAAACAAAAAATGTAAAGAAATAAGTTTTTATTAAAATAAATAAATAATTTATTTGAAAATGTTTAGTTATCAATTGATGCTCGAATATTATTTCGGAATCCTAATATTGATTTAATAAGTTTATCGAATTTAAATGTTAATTGGAATGGAGCTTGTCCACAATATCGTACAAGTAATCATTTTTTAATATTCATCTATTGATCTATATATATATTTATAGTGATCCCATTCCCATATATCAATATATATGAGTCGACATTGGAAAATAATTTAATAAAATGGACTAGTGAAGATTTATCTCAAACAAGTTTTCTAACAACAAATGATAGATTTGAAATTAGTGAAGATTACTTATTAATTGAATCATCAACAGTTAAATTTGAAGATAAAATATCAATTCAACGTTCATATTCATTAGTTAATCAATGGAATATCGGATGGATTTTAACATTAATTATATTATTTTGTTTTTTAATTATTCTATTTTCATTTTTATATGGTTTATGGTCAATACAAGAACATTATCGTTCTGTTTGGTATGTTAATTTTAATTCTCCAATTCAATTAATTAGTCGACGATCAATTCATTCATCAATTAAATCAGAAAATAATATCGAAAGATTTTCTCAAATATCTAATGATATTTCTTATATAGATTATCAACAAGAAGATTTTGATAGTTTTACAACAGCTAGCAGTCAATCAATATCTTCACCGTTTTATACTTATTTTTAATTTTTATTATCTTTTATATTTATTTAATATCAAATCAAATATCCAACATTAATATTATTAAGAAACTTTTTTTTCTTTTCTTTTGCATCATCAAATAAATAAATATTCGTGTTTTTTTCTATCAACATTGAATTAGATTGAATTACAAGCATTAAAAATAAATGATTTTTCATTTGATCGAAATTTAAAAAATAAATTTTTTTTCATGTTTATTACTGTTGGCAATGATCCAATATTTTATTTTGTTTATTCAAATCGATGAGCATGTATTCAATCAAGCAAGATCACCGACTGATTCGTTTTTGCATTTTACTTACATGTTTCTATACTAAGAAATGAGATCTTCATATGATATTTCTGAACATATCACATCAAATATCGATGAAAAGAGAAATTTTCTAAAAAAATGATACAGCTTGAATATGAATACGACAATCTAATCGTTTGATTTCGATGGACCTTCTGTCTGTTAAGTTGCAAAGTTTTTTAAAGATCTGTATTTCAAAAGTTCGTATGTTTCTAGAGTTTCTTGAATTTCCAATTTCCTGAAGTGTTCGGTGTTATATCGCATACAGACGTCTAATGCAAGAAAAATGAACAAAAAAACCATGTTACAAGCAGCAAAGAAACTATTTAAATATATTCTTCTGTTTTTTCGTGTAATAAAAGCACAACGTAAACAAATAAACGACAGCATATTCAAGGTCATCTCCTATGTTCAAACAGAAAACTATTTCCAGCGGTATTCTATCAGCTTTATCTTTTCCATTATAACTAGTTAAGAAAGTTTCTGAGAGAACTATCACAGTTTCGAAAATTTAAATGGTACAAAAAACGTTTTCGCTTCGATGTTGATTGTCTTTCAAGTGAAACTCCTGACAATTCATTATATATTCGATTCGATATATAGGTTCAAATTAAAATTTTTTACTCAATTCAATAATCAAAACAAGATCTTCAATGATAACACAAAAAGGTTTAGCGGGAAAGGGATATTTCGCACTAACTTTTCATTACGATCTCCAGTAACATATGTTCGTTATGATCATCTGACATAAGAAAAAAGACAGGGTGTTCGGGATGACAAAAAAAAATCAGAAATTAAAAAAGTAGGAAATTCGTAATGAAAGTTGTCCAGATGATCGTAAAGAACAGCCATGGTCGAGTTTGACAGATAAAACCTTGAAATTTGACTGGAGGTCGGATTGAAAATGACCGAGAGATCGTAACAATTAAAGATCATCAGATGGTAATGAAAATTAAGGCAAATAAGATAGTGAATGTTTGGAGATTATAATGAAAATTGCAGGGAAATCTTAATGAAAAAGACATATTGTTCGAAACTGCGTTCATGTTTGCTGTTCTTTGGGAGATGTTAAGTGATTCACTACTTTTTATTATACGATGGCACACACAGAATGTCCCAATGAATTCACGCAGTCAACATTTCTATTATTGTTACTACTGTCATTCAAGTGCTTGTATTTATCATTATTATTTCTTATATGGACATGCTTTTTATTACGAATACCGAGACTTTTGAAAGCAAAAAAATGTGTTTAATTATTATTCTAGATGAAAGAATCCTATTTTTCATAATAAGAAAGAAAGAAAGAAAAGTCTTTACAACCGTTACCGATATCAGAAGGAATCCGTTACGACTTTCTAGAAAATCGCATAATGAACTCTCGATCAGTTTCATTATGATCATCAGACCTTTTCATATGAACAAATATCCTTAGAGTTTTATGTCGAACACCTGGTCTTGTTCATCCCAATCTCCGGACACTATATTACACATAGTAATCAGCATGCCATTTCGAATTCACTGCCACACTCTTCCGATCTCCCTGTTTTTTTTAAATACAATGTCCCGTCCAAAAAGGGTTACGAACTCCCGTCAAAGATTATTAAGGACACAAATCATTTCCGAACATTCGGACACATAACCGGAGTCCGGAATGACTTAGTGCGAAATGTCCGTCACCCGGTTTAGCAAACAGTCATTTCGAGGTAAGACGAATCAATTGAAATAAAAATAAAATAATTTCACTTGCTTCTAATGGATTTAAAAAAGCTCCTTTTCGATTCAATTCCATCGAACAAAATTTTATTTTGGGATTAAGTTTACATTTTGCAAAATTCCAACTATGCCTATCTTTCAAGTAAGAAAATAACATTTAATATCTTTTCACATATGAAAACTTGAATGAAGTTCATCAAAGTCTTTCGTAAGTAACTTTCGCTCTTTTAGTAAAATGAAATTTTATTTATTTATGAAACAGAAAGGTAGCGATGACAAGATCGCACAACACAATGTGAGACAGAAGGCGATCTTCAACCAATAATATCGACTACGTCTTCAAATAGGATCTCTTTTTCTCCTAATACTCTATTCAGATGTGACGAGTTGATTACTGTTCGAATAAAACACTTAGATATCACTATATAAGTGCACAGCTAACTCAAAACTTGATATTATCTATCATTCCTATACTCCTGTTATCCAATGTTTCTATGAAAAATCTTCTCATTTTCAATTTCTTTAGTTCGCTTTATATATCAAAAAAAAGCTCTGTCTTTCCTCTAATGAGTAACACAGAAGTGTATGATACAACATGTTCTTTTCTAATTTTCTTTTAGATGATATTTTTCGGTTATACGCAAGATACAATAATGCCCATAAATCAATTTTATCCTTGTTGTCCTTTAAGAACACTGATCCATTCTGGAGCTCTACAAGATTGTACTATTCCATTGGTTTGAATTTGTTGATGAGGTATTTCATTGAAATGCATAATGTTTCTGGATGTTAAAATTTGTCTCCTTTAAGTGATACTTGATCGACTGATGAATGTCAGTACCACGCATGAATCTGTGATAAGTATAAAAGTAAATACTCGAACCAAACAGGATTAATAAAATCTTAGCAGAAACCATGATAAATAGCCAAAACTCAGACTGAAACCAAGTTAGGAACTGGGACCACAGCTGAAGTTCTGATTAGTATCAAAATCCAAAACTGAAATCAAGACTTGGAGTAAAACCAGCTCTGAAACACTGATAAGTAGTGAAATCTCGGATTGACACTAAGATAGGAACTCGGACCACGACTGAAGCTGTGATGACTATGGAAACCTGAAACTGAGGTCAAGATTACGACTAAAAGTAGCTCTGAAACACTGAGCAGTGCTAGAAACTCGGACTGAAGCCAACATAGGAACTCTGGCCATAGCTGGTGCTGTGAAGAGTATGAAAACCCGAAACTGAGTTCAAGATTATGACTAGAAGCAGCCCTAAAACACTGATCAGTGCTAGAAACTCTGATTGAAACTCAGATAGAAACAGAGATCAGAGCTGGAGCCGTCATGAGTATGAACACTCGAAACTGAGATCAAGACTACAACTATCAACAGCCTTGAAACATTGATCAGTACTAGAAACTCGGACTGAAACAAAGTTAGGAGCAGGGATCATGTTTCAAGTTCCGATCAGTCTGAAAACTCGAAACTGAAATCAAGCCTAGGAATAAAACAAGTGGCTGAAAGTTTTCGTCGACTTTGTAAAAAGATAGCATAAGGTTGAGTCTATATAGTGCCAAGAATCTGGCCTTTATCTCTCTTTCTGTTCAAAGTTCTTCAAAAAGTGCTCATGTTCTTTTAACTCTGAAATGAAGATTAAAAAGTTTATTTAACCGAACGATTTATTTTTATTCTTGATTAAGTAAATAATGAAGAAGAAAAAGCAAAATATGAATGTATAATAAAAGAAAGATATGTTGATTAAGTAAATAGTAAAGAAGACAAAGCTAAATATGAATGTATAATGAAAGCAAGATATCTTCACTGAAAAAAAATGGTCACATTACCGAACCTCTGAGCGTTTCGTAGACAAAAAAGAGGGTTTCGTGAAGGAAAAAAAGGGTTTCGTACAATATACGAAACCTTTAAAGGTTTCAAGTTTTGCAACGAATTCTGGACCTTTTTAGGTTTCGTACCAAACTCTAAAAAGCCCTACCGAACTTTTAAAAAAGACTTTTCGAACGATGACAATCATTTTGAAGGGGTCAAAAGTTTTTACGACACCCCTTCGAGGGTTTAGAATTCGTTGCAAAAAAAGGTTCGGTATGATACCTATTTTTTTTCAGTGTTGATTAAGTAAACAGTAAAGAAGAGAAAGCTAAATATCAATGTATAATAAAAGAAAGGTTGCTTGAATATGAATGAAATTTTCGGAGTTCTTTTAATATTTGCCAAAAGAATCGCTTTCTTATTAGGAAACTATTTATCTATTTCACCATAGTGGGTCTTCATTGAGAATAAGACAAAATCTAAAACTGCTGAATGATGATTATGAAGATAATGAATAGCTTTTACCAGATATCTATTCATCTATTTCGCTGTAACATATCATGATTAGTAATAAAATAAAATCCGCAACTGCTGAATAATGATTATGAAAATTAGGAATAGCTCATGCCAGAGACCTATTCATCTATCTCACCACAACATATCTCTATTGCGAAGAAGAAAAAGTTCGTAACGACTGAATGATGTCACTAAGATTAGGAATAGCTCATACCACAAAGAGTCTATTCATCTATTTCACTATTTCATCTCTCCATTGAGAATAAAACAAAATCCGCAACTGTTGAGCAATGATTATGGAAATAAGGAACATCTCATACCACCAAGGAACAATTCATCTACTTCGCTGTAACATAATATGAGAAAGACCGCAACTACTAAATAATGATTATGAAAATAAGGAATACCTCATACCAGAGATCTATTCATCTATTTTACCGTAACGTGTCTTTATTCATAATGAAACAATATGCGTAATTGCTCAATGGTGACTACCAAGCTAAGGAATAAATCATACAAAGAGTCTATTCATCTACTTCACCATAACGTCTTCTCAGTGGATATAAGAGAAAATTTGCAACTGTCAGGTAATGATTATCAAAATAAGGAATATATCATACCAGAGATATATTC